AAACGACCGGCGGCGCCTGGGCCTTCGCCTGCTGCGACCTGGCGCGCTGGTGTCCCGCGGGCGGCGCCGCGGCGCCGGCCGGCGACGCTCTGGGCACGGGCCTCTACGACGTCCACCGCCGGCTGCGCGACATGGCGACGCGGGGCGCGCTCGACGAGTCCGTCGGCATCCACGAGCTCCGCCTGCCGGGGCGCGTCACGGCGGCGTTCCCGCGGACCCTCGACCCGGGCCGCGGCGGCCTCAACGCGAACGGCGGCGGCGTCGTCAGCCTCGACCTCGTCGCCGGCGACATGCGGATCCAGGTCGACCGCGTCTTCGACACGCCCCTGGGCGACCTCGCGTCCTTCGAGATCACGGACATCCTCGTCGACGACGCGGAGAAGTTCCCGGCCAAGCCCGTCTTCGACGACTAGGGGGGCGGGCGTACACGCGAGCGGCCGGGTGTACATCTGAGTTCGCCCGCGCGAGGGGGAGAGCGGGACTCGGCGAGGTCGCCACTCGACGAGTCCGATGTCGATTTTCGCGAACCCGGGGGCTATATGCCTCGGTTGGAAGCGTGCTCGCGGTTAGAAGCGACTGCGCAAGGTCGGAGACGGCGCTGCAGCTGACCGCCGGGCGCCGACGTCCGAAGGACAGCGCAAACCTCATCCACCCGTCCTCGTCACCTGTCCAGCTGTGCCTAGATGCGACCAGCCGTCTAGAAGCACTTAGAATTTACCTCAGTTTCCGTCGCCGCAAGCACCATGTCCCAGCAGCACAAGGTGCGCGCTTGTCTCCCGCGTCGCCGCCCGCCCCCAGGAACCCCCCGCGCGCCGCCCCGCGCCCGCGCGCGCGCGCGAATCGGCCCCGCGCGCCCCATCGCCGAAGCACCCCCAAACGACCCCCCGCGACAAGACCGCACCGCACCCACGCACCCGCACCCTCCATCTTAGGTCGGCATCCTCACGGCCGGCGGCCTCGCGCCGTGCCTGAGCTCCGCCGTGGGCTTCCTCATCGAGAAGTACACGCTCGCGGACCCGACGATCGAGATCATCTGTTACGCGTCGGGCTACAAGGGCCTCCTCTCCGGCGACTCGACGGTCGTCACGCCGGCGATCCGCGAGCAGGCCTCGGCCTTCCAGCTCCACGGCGGGTCGCCCATCGGCAACTCGCGCGTCAAGCTCACGAACGTCGCGGACTGCGTGAAGCGGGGCCTCTGCCGCGAGGGCGAGGTGCCCCTCGAGGTCGCGGCGCACCAGCTCAAGAAGGACGGCGTGACGATCCTCCACACCATCGGCGGCGACGACACGAACACGCAGGCCGCCAAGGTCGCGGAGTATTTGAAGGAGAACGGCTACCCCATCTGCGTCGTCGGCCTCCCCAAGACCATCGACAACGACGTCATCCCCATCAAGCAGTCCCTCGGCGCCTGGACGGCGGCGGAGGAGGGCGCCAAGTTCTTCGCCAACGTCGTCAACGAGATGTCCGCGAACCCGCGCATGCTGATCATCCACGAGTGCATGGGCCGCGACTGCGGCTACCTCACGGCCGCGACGGCCAAGGCCTACTGCGACAACCTGACGGGGCTGCCCTTCGTGCCGGGCCTGGGGCTCTGCCGCCAGAAGAAGTCGATCCACGCCGTCTACATCCCCGAGCTCGCGATCGACATCGAGCGGGAGTCGGCGCGCCTCAAGAAGATCATGGACAAGTACGACTGCGTCAACATCTTCCTCTCCGAGGGCGCGGGCGTCAAGGACATCGTCGCCGAGCTCGAGGCCAAGGGCGAGACCGTGGAGCGCGACGCCTTCGGCCACGTCAAGCTCGACAAGGTGAACCCGGGCGCGTACTTTGCGAAGCAGTTCGCGGCCAAGCTCGGCGCGGAGAAGGTCCTCGTCCAGAAGAGCGGCTACATGGCCCGCGCGGCGCCGGCCAACGTCGCCGACCGCGCGCTCATCTCCGCGTGCTGCACGCTCGCCGTCGAGTGCGGCCTCAAGGGCTCGTCGGGCTGCATCGGCCAGGACGAGGAGCGCGGCGACGTGCTCCGCGAGATCGAGTTCGACCGCATCAAGGGCGGCAAGGCCTTCGACACGACCCAGGTCTGGTTCCAGGACATGCACGCCGCGGTCAACGCGATCAACTAGGACCGCGCGACGACGCGCCGCGCGAGCGCGCCGCGCCCCCCCCCCCTCTCCGTGTAAATCCGCCGCCGCCGCTCGGGTCCCGGGGTCTTAGGTCGTGGGGGTACGGGGGTGGGGCGGGGGGGGGCTTGCTTCAGGACTGGGCGCACTCCGGCGGCTGCTCGTCGCCCGCGGCGGCCGCGACGGGCGCGGCGTCGAGGGCCGCGAAGGGCGCCTTCTTCGCCGAGGCGTAGGCCTCGGCGTCGTTCGTCGCCTTGACGAGGTTCTCCTTGTCGACGTCGAGGCGGATCTTGGCGGAGGACGCCGGCGCGGCCGAGCCGCGGCGCGCCTTGGCCGCGGACCGCGGCGGCGCGGGGCTCGGCGCGTGTTCGCCCCGGCGGAGCGCGTCGGCGTCGGCCTTGTGCTTGAGGGCGAGCTGCTGGACGGCCTTGACCTCGAGCATGAGCTCGAGGTTCTCCTTCTCGAGGAACTCGACCTTCTCCTGGAGCGCGGCGGCGTTCTGCGCCGCGCGGCGGCCCGCGGGCGTCTGGAGCGCCTTGACGCCGCGCTCGGCGCGCTCCGCGCGGGCGGCGAGGTCCTTGGCCTTGGCCTCGGCGGCGCCGCGGGCCTCGACCGCGGCCGCGGCCTCGGCGCGCGACCGCGCGAGCTCCGCGCGCGACGCCTCCGCGAGCTCCGCGACGCGCGCCGCGGCCGCGCCGACGTCGGCCGACGACGCGTCGAGGCCCGCGAGGGGCGCGAGGGCCGCCGCCGCGCCGCGGCTTTCCGCCGCGGCCGCGGCCGCGTCCGCGCGCGCGGCCGCGAGCTCCGCCGCGAGCTCCGCGTTCCGCGCCGCGAGCTCGTCGAGCTGGAGCCTCGCGGCGACGGACGCCGGCGCCGCCGCGCCGCGGGCGAGGGCGTCGGCGGCGTCGCGCAAGGGCGACGCGGCGCCCGCGGGCGCGGGCCGGTCCGCGAGCCGGTCCTCGAGGCACCGGAT